TCATTTCTGCATAAGTGTATACAACATCTGTATATCTGCAGCATGCTTTCTGTGGTTCATAGTATCAACTCATATAGACCGTTCCTGGTATTAGAAATAAAAGCAAATACAAAATTGTGTAGAGATGCAAAGTAGGGGTTGTGGGAGAAGTATCAGTTCTACAGAATGTTGCCACAGGATAATGATAAGTTAATTGCATCAGAAACAATCATGAATTTGAAATGTGAATGCCTATAATAAAACTATTCATCCCAAACTTTCTCACAGTTGTGGGTGAACCATTGGGGTTATTAAAGTGGATAGGGAATCTTATACATGGGTCTAAAAGGATTAATACTTAAATAAGATCAGTAAACACCACCCACTGTGAAGATGTCACAGAAATATGGTTCGAATAACGAAGAAGTTTGTAGGAAAATGATCTGTGTTCCCGAATAGTGTCTGCTTTAATGTAAGACACATTTAGGTAATCTGTAAATAGTATCATGAATGCAACAAACTTCATATTGTTTACTCAACAAAACCTTGTAGTTAGATCAGAAAGATGGACATTCTAATCCACATTAGACTGCTTTGGACTTGACTTAACCCACACACTATATGCTTGCAAAGGTGAGCCCTGTCACAACACAGTAAGCAGTGGTGACCAGCACCATTTCAAAATGATGCCAACTAAGAGAAATTAGAAATTAGGCCTTCAAAAAAAAACACCCAAGGAAAGCAAAAGACATGCCGGTGACCCAGAAGAGATCAAGAGAAACAGATATTGCTGATTGCTGATGACAGTGAACACAACAACATTTGGTCAAGATGGCGGCAGAATAGGACACTCCAACTGGAGCTCCTCCACTCCTGTTTAATTCCAGTTTTCTCTCTCTTTTTGCCCCCTTTTCCCCTCTTAGTGTTCTCTCATGAGGCAGAGTGGCTGGAGGCCCAAGCGGAGCAGGGACGGTAGTTGACTGGGGACCCGTGCGGGTGGTCAGTGGTTTATGAGCCCGGGTAGACCATGTGTGGAAGCCCCATTCGCGGATCTACTGAAAGACTGGAATCCTTGTCTTTTTAACTTTGTTCTCAATTTTTTAACTTGTACTATGAACAACTGTAAGTAATGTAACATTTTTGCCTTTCTTTTTTCCTTTATTTCTCTGTTTTGTACCTAGGATCTGTATCTAGGTACTTTGTACCTAGGATGGCATCATATGAGTTGACATTGTAAACTTTTCACTGTACTCCTGTACTTGAGTACATGTGACAATAAAGGATTTTCCATTCTACAAACCTGGTGGCAGCACTCAACACAGAAGAATAATTCAGAGAATGATAGAAAAATCATGTTGCTCCTGACAGCTTTTATACTGGAAAAGTGGAAATCAGCAGCTCCAGCTCAGAGTTACAGACTATACCATGAGGAATGTGGAAGTGGTTCCAAGTTAGAGTTGAGATGGTGATTCAACCTGATATCGTGATTGAGTGAGTCACAACCAAAAGTTCCTGGTGCATTCATTCAAGTCAAATGAGCAATAATTTTCTTTTAATTGCACCAATAGCACCAATCAGGAGTTACTTCCATGGCACGTGAATACCAAGAGGCAGGGCTGGAAAAATGAAACCACAAGAGAAACCTTCTTTATTCCAGGTACAGAGGGCCCAGGAAATCACTAACCAGGCCGTTCAAAGTGGATAAGTGTTTGGGAACTTTTCAGGAGGCAAGGAAAACACAGCAGGAGTCATAGTGATAACACAGTGTGGAGCTGGAGGAACACAGCAGGCCAGGCAGCATCAGAGGAGCAGGAAATTTGATGTTTTGGGTCGGGACCATAGTGAGGCTTTGAAACGTGGGAAAGCCATTCAGGTGGTGAGTGAAGCAGGGGTACTGAAATAAGCAGATCAATCATAAGAGGAGGAGATAAAAGTTGACACAGATCTCCAGAATCATTTTTATTTCTTAAAGTAGAAAATCCTCAAACAAAAAACAGACCAGATAAGCCAAAGCAGAGGACAGAGTAGAGAACAGACGGTAGAAGTCCTTGAGAATGCAATAGAGCAAAGAAGTCTCAGTGTCATGGACAATATCCAGCTTTAAAAACCAAGCACTTTTACTATAAGAAAGAAGATCACTTTCAGAAATCCAGCAATGTAGGTCACAGCCACAGAAAAGCAAAACATTATAGAATTACCCACAGAAAGGGAGAAAAATGAAGTCGAACAATCTCCAGAGGAAGATAAATCCAAAGACTTCCTAAGGGAAATTAGTAACTGAGACATAACATTTTAGGACGCAGGCATTTACATCAACAAGTAACACACCGACATTCACTGGTACAAGTTCCAAAGAATTGTCAGATAGAGAGCCTTGATTGACATTCAGCCGCATGATGAAGGCTGTTCTGCATGCAACTCCACAGAAGACATTACTAAGAAGAAATAAATTGCCTGCTGTAACAGGGACCCCATCAACAGCTGTAAAAGAATAGATCTTCATCTGTAAAATAAATGCAAGATGTTAAAAACACTTTAGTTCAAGGGAGAACCACAGAGCTCAGACAGAACATTTCTGAATAAGAATTATACTGGACTCAAAATGTTACTCAGTTTCTGTCTCCACAGACCCTGCCAGATCTGTTGATTTTCTCCAACATTGTCAGTCGAAGCCAACTACCTTCTATCCAACAACCTACCATTCTTTCAAGAGAAGGGAAAGAGAACACATTTGCGGAGAGCAGCGAAACCTCTAGATGATCTGAATTTGTAAATTCAAAGGCTTGGGGAAGACAGGGTAATGATAAATGTAAATATATAAGCAAATGCATAACAACAGAATAATATAAAAATAATATAGGGAAGAAAGATTTGGAGGGGGATGTATATACTGACATACCTGAGGCTGGTGTGTTCCTAACTATCTCTGTAGTAATGTAAACCATACTCATACGATCTGTAAATTGCTGCACAAAAGGAATGAATTTGCTTACTCATCAAGACTTTTCTAGTTGGAGCAGAAAGATAGATATCTTAATCACTCTAAACCACTTCAGGCTTGACTGAACCCACATGTAATGGGGATGAACAAAGGCTGGTAGACCCTAATTTCTCCAATTCTCCATCTTTTTTCCTGTTTCTCCTGTGAATGGATTGCTTAAATTCTCCAGTGCTGGATGTTTTATTCCTCCTTTTATTGCTTTCAATGCAATGTGAACCTGTAACAGACAACCATTCAGAATTTGGCAGTGATAACAGCAGGCCACACAGATTGCATAAGGTCAGTATCCCTATAGAAGCTGGATGTGGATAGGGTGCATTATTTTACTACTGTTTTTATTCAGACTTGTTGGCTGTGACTTATATATTCCCAACCTTCAAAGCCTCCCATTACTCCCAGCACACTACCCCCCGCTAAGTGGATTTCCTCAGATGCACCAATCGTGGTTTGGACACCAGTCAAAATATACTATTACCCAATTCCAGGAATTCTAACAAAATTCAGCAAATAATTCTTTCATGCATCTCACCTTGCATCTTACTAGCAAGGTGGCTCAGTGATTAGTACTGCTGCTTCACAGCGTCAGGAACTGGGTTCAATTCCACCCTCGGGCAACTCTCTATATGGGGTTTGCACATTCTCCCCCTGTCTGTGTGGGTTTCCCCTGGGTGCTGCAGTTTCCTCCCATAGTCCAAAGATGTGCAGGTTAGGTGGATTGGCCATGCTAAATTGTCCCATAGTGTTCAGTGATGTGTAGGTTAGGTGGATTAGCTATGGAAAGTGGAGGGTTACAAGGATAGGGTGGGTGTGGGTGGATGGGATGCTTTTTGGAGGGTTGGTGTGGACTCGATGGGCCGAATGGCCTGCTTCCACAATCAGGATCAGAACAGGATTGTTGGTCTGCAAGTCCATTAACATTAAATGGCACATTACATTAATCAGGTTCCAATCAACCTTATTTTAGGTTTTCATATGACTCTAAAATTTGTACTTAGTTGCTCAGCAGTTTGAACTCTACATTATGTCTGTTCAAAAGTTACCTGCAAGATTAAGTTTTCAGTGAAGACTTCAGCAACCTGTCTTGAATATCTATTTCAAGGAGTGAGGAAGACATTATCATTTCAACAAAGTCTTTTTGAAAACTCAGAGAAGTATGATGATACCGGTCTTGTGTTTTTCTGAACAGTTAGTATATCTATTCATCAACTGCTATGTGCCTCCAGTTTCCATATAATTCTACCTTTTGTAAATAAATTACAAATTAGTTTTGTCTGAACCATGTAATCTGACAGCATAGTCTATGGTTTCTTCTGAAGTAAACAGGAGAACATTAAGGACAGTCTATTTTGTTTACAAATGCATAAGGTGAAAAAATACAATGGTTCGTCCTGTGACAAATTATCATTCAATTCACCTATAAAATTCCAGTTAATAAATGATAAGTTCATTTGGGAAAACATTATAATTTTGCTGTAAACTCAAATTAGGAGAAAGCCCAAGTTATATCCCTATCCCTGAACTAAACGTAACAATGAATCATTTACTGAACAAGTATATTGTATTCATCAAAACATTCCCAAGAGTAAGAGACCAGTAAAGAGTTAAACGACTTGCTGCTCGGTGAGTGTGCAAATAAATTTTGATTTCCAGTCACATGATGTTTTAATAACCAATGGCTTCAGTTAAATGTAGCACTATGAGAGGGTCATGCAAATCCAGTGTTAAATAGGCTGAAACATATATTTTAAATTCAAATGCAGGTTGTGTGCAGTAAACCAAGCCATGGGAGATTATAACTAGAGCAGCATGTCTTTGACTCAACAAGGCTAAGCCTCAGGTACAGATATTATTCCCTTCCTTTAACTTGGGCCATCAAGTGAAAAATTTCAGCTGGTTTAATAATTAATGCATGATGCAGCACCTTTTCTGGTGGATGAAATGCTCCTTTGTTTCTCTACAATTAAACAAATAGACTATTAGATCAAGGCGACACTCCTACTTCTCCAAGCTGCCTGACAAAAGATGCTGTTGTCACCTTCTGAAATACTAACAAATGATCAGTTCTGTTTGACTCTTCTTATGGAAAAATAATCTTCTCCTGTAATGGATCTGCTTCACTGAACTGTTCTTTATGAGTACACACTTACGTTTGAAGTACATGTGAGTAGCACTTTAGGCTGTTTCACAGACAAGTTTAGTTCAACAGATAGTCAACCAAGAATCAGGATATGTTTCACAAACTAATTGTGTTTTCTGCAGCTTTGTGGACTTTAGACATGCATTCATTTTAGTGGGAAGTAGTTCATAAACGTGCAACTAAGAAAAATGTTCGAATGTAACTTCTGGTGTACAGCTTTGTTTTAAATTTGTTCAGTTTTATTCTTCAGCTTAAACAGATTCCTGATTCAGATAGAAAGTTGTAGGTCCGATATGTGTTAATGTTACATTGCGGACAATTATAAGGAGACAGTGAATTCCAATGGTATACATTGTGCTAGCAGCACTCAATATATTTTTAGTTAGTGACTATAGCTACACATCCTGATAAGTGCGTGTAATTGGATTTATAAAGAACCAGCATATGGTTTGTTTTGGGGCCACACCCTAATGAAAACAGTGAGTTAATGAGCAGGTTTATTTCAGAAAATCCACACAGAAAGTATAATGGTTTTTCTGCCTCATTATTACCCAGTCTCTGGACGTGGAGCTAAAAACTAGTTTTGTAGAACCAGGTCTGTAGAAGCTAAAGTAGGTTTCATTTGGTGGTGAATCTTTGCTCTTCACAATAAGCTGATACGATTATATACAAATAATTTAGACTGGTTTCATTGCAAGGAGCTTGGATGACATTATAATAGATGCAATGTAGATCGGTCACTTTTTAACCATGCTTTGCTCAAACATAAGATTATTACAGGCTTGAACTCACTTACTCAGCTTAAATTTAACTTTTTTATTAATCATACATGAAGCAACATTTATTGGTAATGCCTGTGGTGATTAGGAGAATATAGTGGTTTGTTATAATAGAGGCATAAATGAAAACTTTATATAATTTATATTATTAATACCTGTAAAAGATTTTGTGTGGAGCTCCTTAATCGGTTGCAGGATATACGAGTATACGACAGGTGTATTATACTATACAACACAAACAGACTGTCTGTCAACTTCAGCACCTGGAAAGAAATCTACTGGAGCGGAACCTTCACTTATTGTGGAATCGCCTGATCCTCATCTGATTGAAATCCATGCAAAGAAAAGTCTTCAGTTTTTCAATGGAAAGGCAGTGGTCCACTCCATCAAGCAAAGATTACTCCATCTAATTATACAGGTCTCTCGTGCTCCCAATGAAGAAAGAAAAATATACAAGTATTGCTCAATGAGCAGAAATATACTTTTGCATTTTAACTGTTGTAACATGAGGTTGCATGAATATAATGCTGTGCACAAAGCTTATGAATCACCTATAAAGTGTTCTGACTATCAATATATTTTTGAGACCAATTGCGAAGAATTAGGCATGATTTTAGAATATCTAGTTATAATGGAAATGATTATAATTAATCATCAAGATTTTGTGATCAGCAATAAGTTAATCCCAAATAGAAAATGTAAGCTGGCATGTTTCAGGGGAGTGAAGTTTGAATAATGTACTGTTCTATTTTATATGGTAACTGGTTGCCTCCTCACCACCAGTGCAGTTGGTAGGGGTGATGTGTACTGTAAATATTTGCATTATTTCGGAACAGTCAATAATGGATGTGGAACAGGAAGATCAGGCTAGCTGGCAATCAAAAATAGATTCTAGGAAGGGACCGAGAGAAGTGATGTTGGTGTATGCTAAAGTTATAGAAGATGATAGAGATTTGTGCATTTTTCCAGTTTTTATTAGTTCATTCTTATGGAGCTCATTATTACATTAGAGGTGTTATTTCTATGGTTATGTGTTAGCATACACAATGAATCTATGTGGCTTGATTTTAAAGAAAATGCCAGTGATGGCTAATGGAGCTAAAAGGATAGTAATTGGTAGTGACCTATGTACAGGCCAGAAATAACTGCATATGACCCTAATCAGAGATTGCCAATGAACTGTGAATCCCAAAAGGACATTTTAAGTAACTCAATACTTTGACAAGTGCCACATTGGGCTAGTTGCCATTTTGGCAAAGGTTGTCAGTTAGGTTGTAGGAGAAGCAGGAGAAGGGAACCATTAGCTGAAACTGGCCCTCAGGAATCCTATAGAACATTAAATGGTGCATTTCTGCCCATCTCCAGCTCCGTATAAAGGCAAGTTTAGAAAATCATTTACTTACTTCTAATGTTGGTGGTCTCCAATGTCTCCTATCTGTGAGGATTTTAACTGGGCCATGTTAAGTGCCAAATAAAATTAGCATTTTGAAGCTTCTAGTTTTGCAAACATGTCCCTCTGGATGCTTTAGACTTCCCACTAATCTAATCAAGAATACTAAATCCTCTTTTAGGTGGCCACTATACAGTCAGAGGTATTTCAGTGCTTTGAAATTAATTTGATCTGCCATTTTCTGCACCTCGATGGGCCGAACGACCTCTATCAGCACTGTAGGGATTCTACAATTCTATGAACCTCCCGCGTCTAAAGGATTTTCAAAAATCAAAATTAATGCATTTAAATTATCAGTATCCATTGCTTTAAAAAAAGAGAGCACAGTGGCTCAGTGGCTAGCACTGCTGCCTCACAGAACCAGGGACCCATATTTCATTCTAAATGTGGGTGACTGTCCATGTGCAGTTTGCGCCTTCTCCCCATGTCTGCGTAGGTTTTCTCTGGGTGCTTCGGATTCATCCCATAGTCCAAAGATGTACAGGTTGGGTGGATTGGCAATGCTAAATTGCCCTGTAGTGTCTAGTGATCTGTAGACTAGGTGACTTCGCCATGGTAAATGCAGGATTATGGGGATAGGGTAGGGGGCTAGATCCGGGTGGAATGCTTTTCAGGCGGTCGATGTAACTCGTTGAGCTGAATGGCTTCTTTCCACACTGTAGGGATTCTATGATTCAAAGTGCTTTGTGCCTATGGAAACAACCTTTTTAGATCTGATGCATATCTTATGAACATTGGAACAGTTTACCAGATGCAACACCTCCATACCCAGAAAAAAAATGAGGTGGTATTTGTTTTTTATCTAGTGAGCTGCCTTTTATTTGGTTACCTGCCATTCCCATGCTTTGTTGTTTACACATACAACATCCATCACTGAACATGAAAGATTAAGGGCTCTGGTGTAGTCAGTCTGGTTTTCCAAGCAGTGGTTCACAGTTAATCACAAGACAATTATGAAACTAATATCCAGCAAGACAGCTTCCTGTAATTGTGATCTGATGCTAAGACTTGTTAATTCAGAGGCAATGAAAATAATCCAAGCATATGCCCATTTGATTTAATACTTAATTAATGTATTTTATAACATATAATTCTTTGCCATTTTTATTTAAAATATTACCTTCCTTAGCCAGGTATAGTTAGACAGTTTCTGCTAGCCATAATCTTTGCTTTAAGGTATGGCACAGAATCAAAGTGTCAGGAAGCAGGATTTTCTAGTCTCTCTTACACATTAATGTCAATATGAAACACAACAGAGGTTTATAAATAAAGGAGCATTAGTTCATAGATTTGCTCATGTTATGCTTCATTAACCAGATCTGCCAAAAAATAATTCAAGGGGTTCTTTCTCTCCTCCACCACCACACCAGGTATGAGTGCACTGAGGGAGTTCTGGCAGACCAGTATCAGTCTTCTGTAGTCTGGATCATCCCTCTGCAAGGCATAGAGCTCTCATTGTGCCTAATGCTCACAATTTTACTATGCATGATTTGAATGCAGCACAGAATGCAAAAACCAAGCATTAAACTTAACCCATTACAATCTTTTTTTATTATTTAACTTCAATTTTTTTCATCTAACCTTACAAAAAAGAAAGCAATATTGCTGTAAGTACAACAGAATAGAATGCTACATGCCAACAAGTGGAAGTGGATTTTCATATTGGTCTTCAGAATACCACCAGCTTTTGACTGGTCCAAAAGCCATCTATCTTGGCTGTGGCAAAATGGCACTTACTATTGCGAGTGCTGAGGAGCAGGCCCTCATTGTAAAACAAAATGGGACAGGCACTGCACAGAAATTCTCCCACCTCCTGCCATAATTTTGATAAAAGATCATGGAAAACCACAGAGATGCATTATTAAAGGCACTTTCTGTCATATATCTGGGATTTCCACCAGACTTCCACCAACACGACTGTAAAAGATAAGAATGGTACCATATGGCATTACTGGTGAATATACTTTGTTACAAAGAAATATACTAGCACTGAAACTCTGAAGGAACATTTTCAGGTTTCCACCCTATTTCTGGTAGGAAAGCAGTGAATATTCAAGGAAATTTCAAGGCCCATATCTTCTAAACACTGCGACGATCCAGCCAAGATATGTCAAAACTGAAGTGAGCCTATATCAGTTAGCAAAAAGCTGAAGGGATTGAAAGAACCAAAACTGCCCATCACTGCAGTATGGCTGAAGTAAGTTTTTTTAATGTGAATTTTTATTTTAAAATAATGAAAAAAGAAGTTTGAAATTTTTTTTGCCCTTCTAAGTGTCACAGATATTCTGCAGAAGATATTAAAATAGGAGCAGGAATAGGTTATTCAGCACATTAAGCTTGATTCACCATTCACTGCAATCATGGCTGATCACATGTTTCAATACCTTTTCTCCCCCACACTAACCCCACATCCCTTTACACCATTGGTAATTAGAAATCTGTCAATTTCTAACATAATCATATTCAATAAGTGAGTGTCCACAGCTCTCTGGGGCAGAGAATTCAAGTAGAAGAAAAAACTCTGCAATTCTGTTTTAAGTGACTTCCTCCTTACATTGAAATTGTCCCTGCTTCTTTCTACACTCTTAACTGTGATTACCCAATCTATCCCCTTCATTCCAATAAGACTCTCATTCTTCAAACCTCTAGAGAATACAGGCATAGTTTCCCCAAACTCTCTTCATGTGACAGTGCTGCTGCCCAGTGAGCTAGTCTGATGAATCATCATTGCACTCTCTCTCTATCACAATAACAGCCTTCTAAGGTAAGAGGACAGAAATAGCACACAGTAGTT